GAATGATATGAGCATTATCAGGAGTTAGAAGGGCACTGGAGGAGGAAGAGACTTTTCTTCCTGGTTCTGGCATGCTCTTTCTGTTTGTTTCAGCAGCACATGGGACACCCAGCTGTGTACACCCCAATGAGTTTCAAGGCACTATCCTGTGGGCAGCTTTCCAGCAAGTTCTATGCTGCACCACCTCCCCATGTAGGGCTTCTGGCACTCCAGAGGGTAGCTCCTCAGAGAGTTCTGCCAGTTAAGTACATCAGTGCACATAGCTATATCCCCTCCAACGAAAGCTGGATCTCAGTTCTGGCAGGGAAGGGAAAATGTGACACCTCTTTAAGATTTGCTCCTTTCCTGGGTGTTCTACCTCAGCTCTAGAAACTCCTTATATCTGTTATTCATGTATTCTCTAGAGTTTTTTGGGGGGGGGCATTATGTTTGGGTTCTGGTTTTTTTTTTTTTTTTTTTTGACAGATTTTCACTACAGGGTGCATGCTCTTGCTGAAGAGACAGAGAGAGAGGAAGTAAGAAATCACCCATCACAGGGGTGATGGCCATGCCACAATCTCTTCTCCTTCATTCTCCTCTTGGAATTTCTGGCGTACATGCACAGGTGCCTGACATGACTTTCGAACTGCCGGGTCCAGGACTTGAACCACAGTCAGCCACATAGAAATTCAGCACCTTAACTACTGCGCCACCTGCTGACCCCTACAGCTTGTTTTTTTGTTATACAACTTAGTAGTTACGTTCTGGTTATACTTCATAATCTTAATATCAAACTTCCCCTTCAAGTTAGTATGTGGTTTTTGTATTCATCTCCATCTTATGGACAGCCTTGCCAAAGAGATCAAAATATTTAAAAAACAGAATATTAGACCTTGAATATCATGGGTACTATAGAGTTTTGTTAAAGATCTTAATGTTTTGTTAAAATTTTCTTTCATGCTGGGGGGGAGGGACCCCCCCAGGGGGGATGGTCACGCCGCAATCCCTTCTCCTCCATTCTCCTCTCGGGATCTTGGGCTCACACGC